TTACATTACTCCTGATGTTACTTTATTTATTACTTTGTCAACAGTAACATGTTACATTACTCCTGATGTTACTTTATTACTCTGTCAACAGTAACATGTTACATTACTCCTGATGTTACTTTATTTATTACTCTGTCAACAGTAACATGTTACATTACTCCTGATGTTACTTTATTTATTACTCTGTCAACAGTAACATGTTACATTACTCCTGATGTTACTTTATTTATCACTCTGTCAACAGTAACATGTTACATTACTCCTGATGTTACTTTATTTATTACTCTGTCAACAGTAACATGTTACATTACTCCTGATGTTACTTTATTTATCACTGTCAACAGTAACATGTTACATTACTCCTGATGTTACTTTATTTATCACTCCCTGTCAACAGTAACATGTTACATTACTCCTGATTTTACTTTATTTATTACTCTGTCAACAGTAACATGTTACATTACTCCTGATGTTACTTTATTTATCACTCTGTCAACAGTAACATGTTACATTACTCCTGATGTTACTTTATTTATCACTCTCTGTCAACAGTAACATGTTACATTACTCCTGATGTTACTTTATTTATCACTCTCTGTCAACAGTAACATGTTACATTACTCCTTATGTTACTTTATTTATCACCCTGTCAACAGTAACATGTTACATTACTCCTGATGTTACTTTATTTATCACTCTCTGTCAACAGTAACATGTTACATTACTTCTTATGTTACTTTATTTATCACTCCCTGTCAACAGTAACATGTTACATTACTCCTGATGTTACTTTATTTATCACTCTCTGTCAACAGTAACATGTTACATTACTCCTGATGTTACTTTATTTATCACTCTCTGTCAACAGTAACATGTTACATTACTCCTGATGTTACTTTATTTATCACTCTCTGTCAACAGTAACATGTTACATTACTCCTGATGTTACTTTATTTATCACTCTCTGTCAACAGTAACATGTTACATTACTCCTGATGTTACTTTATTTATCACTCTCTGTCAACAGTAACATGTTACATTACTTCTTATGTTACTTTATTTATCACTCCCTGTCAACAGTAACATGTTACATTACTCCTGATGTTACTTTATTTATCACTCTCTGTCAACAGTAACATGTTACATTACTCCTGATGTTACTTTATTTATCACTCTCTGTCAACAGTAACATGTTACATTACTCCTGATGTTACTTTATTTATCACTCTCTGTCAACAGTAACATGTTACATTACTCCTTATGTTACTTTTCGTTTCATTAGTTCTTTTTCGCTTGTAGCTGTCCACTGTTAAAATCCAGTCTTGGTTGTTTTGTAGAGCTACAGCTATCGTCTGCGGCCGCCATTGGTGGGGTTTATTTACATGAGCTTCACGTTGTTGTTGTTGTGTTGTTGTTGTTCTTGTGTTGTTAGTGAAGCCCCACAGGAAAACTTTAAACCTGGTAACCATGATGCTCGCTGCCTTCCTGCTTGGCTGACGTGATGAAATCAATCTGGGGATTGTTGTATTTTAAATAAAATGTAATAACAACAACAATAAGGTTTGTGTGAGTAACTGGAATATTACTGCCCAACACAGCAATCGCTAACCGTCTCTCTGACAGCAGGCTGTAATGTGGCAAGCTGTGATGTCACAGCTGGAGAACTCATTGTTGATCTCTCACCTGTTGGCGAGCAGCTGGTCAGGGTTTGGAGGCGTGCTGGTATTGTTAGCGCCCCCTGCAGCGGGGCTAGAGTCCTGCGGCTGCAGCGAGCGCCACTTAAGTCTGTAGTAGGACAGGAGCAGGAAGAGCGTCTGTGGGTGGCGCTCTCTCTCCAGGTTCTTCTCCAGGCCGGCGAGGCACGCCTCGGTGAGCGGGTGCGTGCTGCCCGGGTGAAGCTTCATACTGGAGCTGAACACCATGGACACGTCCTTCTGGTTAAACTGGTTCAGTCTGGACTGAGACTCCGCCTCCAACACCTGGACCACCTGAGAGTCGCTGGGGAGACCTGTGGAGAGGGACATGATGACATCACACCTGACAGCTGAAAGATGACATCACACCTGCCAGCTGAAAGATGACATCACACCTGCCAGCTGAAAGATGACATCACACCTGTCAGCTGAAAGATGACCTGATGACATCACACCTGCCAGCTGAAAGATGACCTGATGACATCACACCTGACAGCTGAAAGATGACCTGATGACATCACATCTGACATGATGACATCACACCTGACAGCTGAAAGATGACCTGATGACATCACACCTGACAGCTGAAAGATGACATCACACCTGACATGATGACATCACACCTGACATGATGACATCACACCTGACAGCTGAAAGATGACATCACACCTGACAGCTAATAGATGACATGACGACATCACACCTGACAGCTAATAGATGACATGATGACATCACACCTGACATGATGACATCACACCTGACAGCTGAAAGATGACCTGATGACATCACACCTGACAGCTGAAAGATGACCTGATGACATCACACCTGACAGCTAATAGATGACATGATGACATCACACCTGACATGATGACATCACACCTGACAGCTGAAAGATGACCTGATGACATCACACCTGACAGCTGAAAGATGACCTGATGACATCACACCTGACAGCTGAAAGATGACATCACACCTGACAGCTGAAAGATGACCTGATGACATCACACCTGACAGCTGAAAGATGACCTGATGACATCACACCTGACAGCTGAAAGATGACATCACACCTGACAGCTGAAAGATGACCTGATGACATCACACCTGACAGCTGAAAGATGACATCACACCTGACAGCTGAAAGATGACATCACACCTGACAGCTGAAAGATGACCTGATGACATCACACCTGACAGCTGAAAGATGACATCACACCTGACAGCTGAAAGATGACATCACACCTGACAGCTGAAAGATGACCTGATGACATCACACCTGACAGCTGAAAGATGACATCACACCTGACAGCTGAAAGATGACCTGATGACATCACACCTGACAGCTGAAAGATGACCTGATGACATCACACCTGACAGCTGAAAGATGACCTGATGACATCACACCTGACAGCTGAAAGATGACATCACACCTGACAGCTGAAAGATGACCTGATGACATCACACCTGACAGCTGAAAGATGACATCACACCTGACAGCTGAAAGATGACCTGATGACATCACACCTGACAGCTGAAAGATGACCTATGACATCACACCTGACAGCTGAAAGATGACATCACACCTGACAGCTGAAAGATGACCTGATGACATCACACCTGACAGCTGAAAGATGACATCACACCTGACAGCTGAAAGATGACATCACACCTGACAGCTGAAAGATGACCTGATGACATCACACCTGACAGCTGAAAGATGACATCACACCTGACAGCTGAAAGATGACATCACACCTGACAGCTGAAAGATGACCTGATGACATCACACCTGACAGCTGAAAGATGACATCACACCTGACAGCTGAAAGATGACATCACACCTGACAGCTGAAAGATGACCTGATGACATCACACCTGACAGCTGAAAGATGACATCACACCTGACAGCTGAAAGATGACCTGATGACATCACACCTGACAGCTGAAAGATGACATCACACCTGACAGCTGAAAGATGACCTGATGACATCACACCTGACAGCTGAAAGATGACCTGATGACATCACACCTGACAGCTGAAAGATGACATCACACCTGACAGCTGAAAGATGACCTGATGACATCACACCTGACAGCTGAAAGATGACATCACACCTGACAGCTGAAAGATGACCTGATGACATCACACCTGACATGATGACATCACACCTGGAGACAGGACTCACCGAGTGCAGCTACGGCGTACAGACAGTTGACGATGCTGAAGTTGTCAAACTTGGCGCAGTCGTTGACGATGGCGTTGCAGAGTGTCTGAAAGTCCTGATGCTCCAGGATCTGACGTCTGGCTGCGCCCTCCACCACTCCTCCCAACGCCTCGCTATCGTCCCCGCCACCCCGCAAAAGTGGCGGTGCCTGCAGCAGCTGTCCGATCTTCTGCAGGGCGACGGGGTAGTGGTTGTGGGAGATCTTGGCGGGGTTCTGGGTGACCCAGCGCAGCACCTCGTCGGGCCGCCGCGAGCGCTCGATCAGACGCTTCATGGTGAAGAACGTGTCGTAACTCATCTTTTCGTGGATGAAGTTCCACGTTTTCTTCTTGCTGCTGCTGGCCGGCCCGCCTCCAGGAGGCGCCGCCCCTCCATACGTGTGGAAGTGGGCGTGGTGCTGGTAGTGGGCGGTCAGAGGGGGTGGGGCTAGATGAGCTGGGTGCGGCTGGGGGTGAGGATGGGGGTGGTAGTGGTGGTGGAAGTGCGCTCCTCGGTGGGCGTCAGGGCGCCCCTGATACAGCGGGTAGGCCGGGGAAGGGGACGCCGCGTGAGAGTGGTGGGAAAGGTGAGGCGGATGGGGGGCCTCGAGCACGGCTAGCCCCGCCCTCCGACCCTGTTTGACCCCACTTCCTCCTCCCCCTCCGCCTGTGGTGTTGTAGAGGCGGGGGGTGTACATGGCAGCAGACTTAAGGGTCGGGCAGGGCGGGCAAGGAGGGAGGCGGCGAGCTTGGCTCAGGAGGCGCCACCCAGTGGACAAAAGGAGCATAGTCCAACAGCCCAGCCGCCGGGAGGCAACAACTCAGAACTCCTGCAGAACACACACACACACACACACACACACACACACACACACACACACACACACACACACACACACACACACACACACACACACACACACACACACACACACACACACACACACACACACACACACACACACACACACACACACACGGTTGATGACGTCATACATTATGTGACGGCTGTCAGTCTGTTAGCCTGTTAGCAGTTAGCAGGCTAACAGATAAACTCAATGTCACAGACCGTGATGCTAACACAGTTAGCATGTTAGCTTCATATCCGAACTGAGCCGACATAAACAAGCTAACCAAAGCTAAGCTGCTCTGTTAGCATGTTAGCATCATTCTGTCGGTTAACGTGGTTATTACCGGGGGTTAACTCGTGTTTAACCCGGTGTTTAACCGGGTAAACCCGGGTTAAACACCGGGTGACGTGTGTTACCTTCATGTCTACCGGACACAGCTCCTCAGTGTTCAGCGGGGATCATTCCTCCACACAGCCCGCACACTCCATCCTGCAGCTCCCGGCATGCACCTGCTGTCCGACAGCGCCCCCTGTCTGCTGCTCTGCTCTTCTTCTTCTTCTTCTTCTTCTTCTTCTCTGGTTGTAGTTTCATCGCCACCTTGTGGACGGGAGGCTGCACCAGCTGTCCACAGCTCTGTCTCTCATGAACTTCATTTAATGACCGAAAACACCAAATGTTTATTCAAAGTTGAACACATTTAAAATGTAAAGTTTTGGTTTGAACACATTTAAAATGTAAAGCTTTGATTTGAACACATTTAAAATGTAAAGTTTTGGTTTGAACACATTTAAAATGTAAAGTTTTGGTTTGAACACATTTAAAATGTAAAGTTTTGGTTTGAACACATTTAAAATGTAAAGTTTTGGTTTGAACACATTTAAAATGTAAAGTTT